TGACCTTGACCCATAGGAGGAGATTAACATGATCCAAGCATACACACACAGCAACATTTTTATTAAATTTTACTTAACCTTATAGTGTAACTCCATGGCCAGAGATGAAGTGGTCTGGGTGGTCAGCCATTTCCCCATAATTCACAGAAGAGCCTCAACTCTCCCTCCCTGGGACTGTGGTTGACTTGTGAGTGTGGGTGCAGACAGCCATTAGATGGTTCACAGGTTGTATAAGTCTTAAGAGTAGCAAATTGGCTTGTAGTTCTGAGACCAGCTAGTCCTTCCGAGTCAGGGAGAGCTCATTCATCCGGTCCCCTGCCCCTCTTGGTACCTCCTGTTTGGGCCTTCCCTACCTTCTTCACCCGCTCCCCGCCTCCCCTCACCCCCACCCCAAGTTACATTTAGCAATATCTGGAGATGGCTTTGGTTGCCACAGCTAGCAAGAAGTAGGAAGAGGAGGTACTACTGGCATTCCATGGGTAGTGGCAGGGGGTACTGCTAAACACCCAACAGTGCCCAAGACAGCACCTCCCCACCCCCTGCCCCCAGCAAAGAATAATACGCCGCACATGTCAGTCGTGTGGCAGTTGGGAAACCCTGACTGCGCTCAGGCTGTGTGTGTATTGAAAGAGCACCCTGAAAGAAGGACATTTGCCCGTTCTCTGTTCTCAGACAGCAGGTTACCTTTGCGTTGCCCAGAGGGAATACAGATGGGACTAAGGCAGGGAATCAGCCTGGCTGTGCGCAGATTCCCCATCTGTGAGATGGAGTGATATTAGCACCTACGTGATAGAGGTGTGGTGCAAAGTAGTGTATCTAATGAGTGCCCGTTCTCGCTACTGGCACGAGCCCAGGCTTGGGGACCAGCAAAGGGGTAGACACTGAACACCACTTTCCAGTCACCCCTGGCTCCTGGGACCCAGCATCCTCTTGAAGCTCGGCCTGTGGCTGGGGGAATCCCAGGAGGCCACCCGACCAGGACCCCAAGCCGGCCCGGCCACTGCTACCCAGGCCAGGCCTTATGAATGACGACGGCCGGCGGCCCAGCGACCTCTGACCCGCGGCACCGGCAGCACCCCTCCCCCGCTGGCAGGTGGACAGCGGCTGCGCTGAGCGGGCCGCGACGCCAACCTCAGCTGGCCCGCGGCCGCTGCCGCACTGGGCGGGGGCGGGGGGCTGCGGCGCACACGGGATCGACTGGGCTCCTGC